AGGGAGGGGGAAGGGGGGAAACTTAATCTGCTCGACTATTACATTCTATTGTAAATAAGACACCTTTCCAAGTCTAGCCAATGTTGTTAGGGGGCAGTGATCTATATTACGCAAGTCGGATATATAGCAGTGCCGTTGTAAAGGGATCTTAGCACAACTTATCAAATCACTTATTACGTAACAAGGAAAAGATGCTACCTTAGGATAGAAGATGAAGGGTAGCTAATCATGAGGAAGTCTTGCACACACGGTAGCTTCACAATTGATGGTAAATCAAAGGTGAGATAAAGTCATGCAGCTAGTTCGGTTACAAGTGAATGGATACCTGCCTTATATAGTATTTTGACGTGGCTATGCTAGGCAGGCAGTTATTATGCGAAGCTAAGATGGAACAGTTCAAAGTCACAGCCAGCTCTGAATTCTCTAAGGTGGTAGTCCCAAGTTACTGGTATGTTGTAACTGTTCTGACCTACAGTGAGTCCGGAACCAGCGCGAGTTCAGAACTAATTCTGAACTGGGCTTCGGTTGGAACTGTTCCCAGTCTACACACCAAGTGGAACTGCTTTTCAGAAGTCAAGCACCGAACTACTGTAAGTGTAATGATTAATGAATTGTATTCAATTTTCACTATACTACTATCCTGGAGCTAGCCCTTTCCATATGCGGTCTTTGTGGAGTTTCAAAGCGGTATTACGTCTTCTAGTCAGAAATTTATCTGCCCCGCTTACACACGAGCGAGCCGTGACAGCTACTTTGACGCAAGAAGCGTTACGGGTCTACCCCTGGGGAGCTGAGTCCGTTATTAGCCTCTTCTAAAAACATTCACGCTGGCGACACGGCCCAATAATCTTGTGCAGCATTTCCACGCTAAGTCCAAATTTCAAAGCTGTGAACACGTCCTTTCAGTTCCGATCATCGTGAAAGGTGTCACGTCACATGCGAGCATTATCTTGCGAGCATATAGCTGCTTGAGCGCACGCGAGTGGTTTCTTTTGTCAAGGTGAAACGGTCAATTTTTTTCTGAAAGGCAGAGTGCTCTGTGCTACTGGGTACATATAGCGGCGAGACCCTTTCCAATACTTGGGCCCTGACTCCTTTGGCACCAACTGAAAGTTTCTCATTTCATTCACAGGTAGCATTCCTAGGCCCGTACAGCAGCTTCCTCTCGCAAGATGTTCAACAATGACGTAGAAAGCGACGATGAACCCTCTATAGTGCCCATGAAAGTCGAGAAATCTGTCTTTCTCCCCGATGGTCAAAGGTGGGATGATGTATCTGCAGGTACTATAGTAGTGAGCACTGGCTGGCATCTGACCGGCAAGGATACCTCTCTTCAAAGCAGCTACGAAGCAAAGCATTCTATCGAGTTTGGGGCCGGTATCACTGCCGAGCAGACTTACCCCGGATTGTCATGGAATGAAGATCTGAAGAGTTTGGATGAAGAAGCGCAGGCCGAGCGACAAGATGCCATGACCAAGTGGAAGGAGTCTTTCAAAAGGATAGCCAGCGAATGGATTGGGCTAGCCGCTGTATTTCACCAGCCTCGCAAGGCTGGTAGCCAGATGGAGTTTTCCTACACAGAGAGGGCCGCTGGTCACGAGGTGCGGACAAGAGGGTCACCCATGGCTGCAGCTCCCCAAAGGGCCAGACACAGAATCGAGCTTCCCTTCCAGGGTTCTCTTGCAGAAAAGATCAACGTGTATATCGAAATGCTCGTGAAAGACTCCAGTGTCAAATTTGGGGCAAAGGACGTACTGGAGAATAACGTGATAATTGATAGGCTTCGCCTATCACTAATTGTGGATGTGTTTGCTCGTAACTTGGCCTGTGGTCCCTTCGATGTGGTGATTGATAATCCGTTGATGGAGGATGATTTTCAAGAAGAGTATTAAGGCTGGAAGATTCGTTGAACTCACGAGATGCTGCAGTGAGGCGAGGAAAATGCTTAGTGTATGTAGGCATACATAGTATAGTGATAACTGGCACAAATAGAACACTGGTTGTAACATAGAGTCACATCTATACCAGTTAGTACATCAGAGCACTTGTAGAGAACTGTATGTTCTATAGCGCTCTTATACACATTTGGAGAGTGCTATCTATTCTCTCCCCGAACTTGCTTGTCGAGCTTGCCTTCTGCCTTTATACCGCGACCTCGCCTTGCAGCCACTCTCGTGGACCCCATGCTTATGCCATAGTGTTAGATCAACCGTCCAGCAGACTTAGCTAGTGTACCACTCGCCAGGTGACCAAAACAGTCCATCTTACGCAAAGCATCCCCTGTTCTGGTGGCAGAAGCAACCCCGTTCGGTGGCATAGCTGCTCTAACCCCCGGACTCGGGTGGCGGGACTTTAGGTCACGTGTCTGCTTTGTTTGTTATGGCGCGCTCTATCGCGTTTCGTCCTCTATAGCTTGGTTGTTACTGCGGTTGCGTTATTTTTGAGAGTCGCAGTTGAGTATTGAGTACGGGGGTGTACACGAGTACTGTACTCAAAATATGAGTACGAGTATAAGTACGAGCACTCGGAAATACTAATAGAGTTGACAGAGTACTTTACTCAGGAACAAATTACAAAAGGTTTTGTGCTATTCTATTTTACTGGCTGATAATCCCCTCATTATCTCGAAGAGTCAGTACTGTTTGCTGTTTCGCCCACAGTACTTTGCTCTTCCAAGATCTCCAATATCTGCACATTATCTCAGGAATGAAGAAGCTTAACACATTATTCGGAGATCAATGCCCACTGTCGCGGGCCAGTAGTTAGTCTTACGTAATATACGTCAGACAGTACCGCCGTCGTATGAGGATTCCTAGCACAAGTTATCAAATACCTTATTACGTAAGACGGGACTGTTATATACCTAAGGTGGAAGACGAAGGGTAGCTACCCCTAAGAAAGTCTTTCACTTAAGGTAGCTTTGGAATTAAGAGGTAATCAAAGGGTGAATCATAAGTCATGTAGCTAGTCGAGATACAACTGTTGGATGAGTTTCATTATATAGGTATCCGGATAGGCTACTTGACTTAGCTGCTTTAAAGTTACATGGTTCAGTGAAGCTAGACGCTTCAACTTTGTGTTCCTGGATGAGTACTGAGCACGAGTACGAGTACCTGTAAGTAGAGATCATCTAATATGAGTACTTGTACTCGAGTAGTACTCTGCGACCCTTAACCCATATCTTTACCAAACGCGGTTCTGACATTTTTCGTCAGCCAGCTAAGTTCACTTTCCGCAAGAGCGCCCTAGGAGAATCCCCCAACTCGAACCTTCTTTGGCAAGCCGTCACAACAATGCAACTAACTTGTGTTTATATGACCTAGGCCTTACCCTTCTTCGCTTCCTCCCCACCTTAACCCCCTTGTGTTGAATATCTGCGCTACCGGTGGGTAGTGTTCCGACTATGGCGCTCGCTACGTCCTGACGAACCCTCACCGCCTTCATGAACGGTTCCCTGGGCTGTTTTTCTCGGTTCTGGGCAATTCCCTGGTGCAACGTCAGGACCAATAACGACGATCCGAGGGGCAGCTGAAGATGGCGGTCGGAACTCTGTTCGAGTAGCGTCCGAGTAGCTAGGCGATCTACTCGATCTATCCGGCGTTCTTCCGTTCTTGAGAATACCTTTCGGCATCCGCTGTTTACCTTTAGGAGAAGCCCGAGGATTAAGGACCCTTGCTCGACGCGCTAGAGGAAGCTTTGGTGGGAACCCTCTGTCAATGGGCGCCGTAGAATGCCTGGGAGATCGCCTTCGGCTTCTTAGATGAGCTTTCGAGGACGATCGGTTTGAGGATCTTCGTCTCTCGCTTTCATCGCGACTGGGCGAAGAAATGGACTTGGTACAGTGTGAGGTACGGTCTGGGTGTGGACACTCTCGAGCTTCGCTGAACGAGTGAACCCTATAGATGGCCGGGGTCGACCGAGATCGTGCACGCCGGGGAGGTGTAGTGCTTCCGCTCGATAAGGTGTCCACCAAGGATGAAGCATGACTGACTTCGATGGGCACAGTATGTGTCAAGCGCGGCTGGCTGTTACATAGAGAAAGGAAGCATTCACTGAAGCTGAAGCAAAGGTCCAGTTCTAAACTCGAAGCTTGTCGTCGAGGGCGCATTGATGTGGGCGATCACTAGTCAGAGAAATTAGAGATAAAGCGCCGATGTCAACCAATCTACCTATACCCAAGTATTATGGATCCAGGTCGAGACAGGATCTCGAATAGGAACCCCAAATCTGAACCTTCCTCCTAGATAAAAACGTACCTCCTGCCTGCTTGACGTGTAACAAAAGCGATGTTCAGCGACATCGTGTGAGTTCTTTTCACTGCCTTTTCTTCCAGCGATTGATCACTTCTGATCATCAAAGGACGGTGGCGATGAAGGGAGCGAATTTCCCTGAGTCGTCGGTTGAGGTACCGTGCAAACTTTGGGAAGAGTATTTGTGTTCATGACTGACTGACAACGAAGCATATTTTCACCTATGCCCGATGGGAAAAGAGACACAAGAAGAAACGACAGAAGACTAGTAGCAGAGTGAGCGGCCTTTTGACAATCCTTTCGATCCTACCAGGCAAGGTGAAACACATCACATCAAGGTGAAACCTCACATTTCAGACAGCTTTCGATAGCCTAGGTACTGTGTTGACGGCCTCTGTCGGGTGAATATTGCAAGAAGAAGGCTCAACTTACGGCTCAACTTGCATACAGCAAAAGTCGCAACCAAAGCAGGAGTCCACTGCATAAAAACGAGAAGAAAATGCGAGATAAGCAAGTGGCAAAAAGCACGGAGCTCTAAGGTCGGTGACCTGATCAGCGCGGAGCTGGTATTGTTTGGGTGTAGATTACCCGATTGCGGCGCGGAGCCGGCTTGTGTGGTACCAGCGCGGAGCTGGGTTTGGTTTGGGGCGGCCCGGGGGCCAGGATAGGCGCGGAGCCTGTTTTGTTTATCCCTGCCCTAAAGGCTGTCGTGGTAGAGTATGGAAGAGAGGAGGAAACTTGACAAAAGGTAATCCTATGTGGGGATCGAACCCACGACCCCCTGATGCCGACGATTTGTTTGTCTTTTGAATCGTAGTCAGATACTCTACCACTAAGCCAATAGGACAGGGATAGGGGCGGTTGTTTCGTAGTGCTTGAGTCTCAGCTGGCTTCCCGGTTAGCCATATCAGCTTTGATTTCGTTTTTGTTTCTCTTTCAAGCAATCTCCCTAAAGCGTGCTGGCAGCGAACATATGTTTCCTGCATTTCGCTCGTCTTTGTCCAATCCGCTCCACCTATCCACCGGCTCCGATTCCTGCTCGGCCGAACCATGTCAGCCCTATCACCTATCTACTGCTATCAGATAAGATCGCCTGACACCCGCAATCGGAAGCAGGCCAGAAGAGACCGAACGAGGCCGAGCCGCCGATGTGGATCAAAGTCGTCCGTCGTCCGGCATGTCCGGTTCTCGCGCTCAGCCAGCTGCTCCGCCCCAACAACATGGGCAACGCTTGTTATTCGGGTCGGCATGATGATATGGGAAGACGTATATATCTCGTCTCATGGGGTATTTGGGAGTACGTCGGCTCATTTTTATCGGACTCGTCCTTGCGGTAATTGGATTCGCCATTCGGTATCAGCAAACTACACCAGAAACGCTCAAGATGCAAGCCATGAAGAACGTGATTGTTGTTGGAGGGTCGTATGTTGGAAGTGTGAGAACCTTGGTCATCCCTGCCTCACCAATAGTGGAATTGACTCTATTTGGTTTATATATAGGGTGCGGCTACAAAGTTGGCCAGCTCGTTACCGGAAGGATATCGAGTACGTGTTCAGTGAAGGCATGTCTTTACAATCAAACTGAACAAATTCGCATTTAGGTTCTCCTTGTCGAACCGCATAGTCACTTCCACCATCTATTTGCTTTCGTACGCTTCGTGTTCTTCTTGTTCCCTACTCGCAGCTTATTCTATTTCTCCACAGCCACGATTCGCTATTGTACCAACACACGAACACAAAGCCTTCATCCCGTACACCCGGATCTTCAACACACCAACCATCCCAAACCCATCGATCCACTCTGTCATCCGCGCCCGTGCGCTCTCTGTTCAGCCTGACAACAAACTCGTTCTGGATCGGGAATGGAAGGGCGAAACGGTCGTGCCGTTCGAATACCTCGTCGTTGCAACGGGAACCCAGCTGCCGAGTCCGGGAAGTATGCAGGGGGAGGAGAAGACAGATGGTGTTGGCTTTTTCAAGACGTACCAGGCGGGTGTGCAACGCGCAAACGACGTGGTGATTGTCGGTGGTGGTGCGGTGGGTGTACAGATGGCGCTCGACCTCAAGGAAGTCCACCCGGAGAAAAACGTCACTTTGGTTCACTCAAGAGATCATGTGATGAACCGTTTTGATCCGCGGTTGCATGCGATCGTTGCGAAACGGTGTGAGGAGCTGGGAGTAAAGTTGGTTACGGGACAGAGGGTGCGGGTTCCAGCTGATGGGTACCCGACGGACGGGAGTGATACAAAGGTCGTACTCGCAAACGGAACGGAGATACCAACACAACTCGTCATCCTCGCTACTGGACAAATTCCCAACAACCACCTCCTACGGGAACTCGACTCTTCCTCCACCCCAGCAGGCCAAATCATCAACCCAGCAAACGGCTACCTTCGCGTTCGACCGACTTTACAACTCCAACATCCTGGATACGGAAACATCTTTGCGCTGGGAGATATTGCGGATACCGGTGCGCCAAAGGCCGCGAGACCGGGGATGGCGCAGCAGGATGTGGTGGTGAGGAATATCGAGGCGCTGGTAAAGGGGCAGGAACCAGAGGGGAAGATAGAAGTCGGGCCGGCCGCGATCCATTTGACGTTGGGACTTGTGAGTGTTCTTCCCTATATTTCGCAGGTGCCACTGATGCTGATAAGCTGTGCGGGTAGAAACAAAACGTCATTTTCCGGAACCCGATAGAGCCTGGAGGAGAACCGATGATCAAGATGCAGGACAAGTACGTCGCTTCCCTCCTCCTTCCTCCTTTCCCTTCCTTTTGCTTTTTCCCTGCGCCCGAGTCGCCGTGTCACCGAGGTCTCTGGCTCCTGCTGATACGCGGCGTGTTGCGTCTTTTCGTAGTGGGCAGGAAGATATGGGTATTGATGGAGTGTGGTCGAGAAGAGGGTTTACGGTCAAGGATATCTCGGAGTACCATCTTTAATGTATGCAGGAAAGTTTTTCTTTTTGCCAGCAGACTCTGAAACGATGTCACTGAAATGTTTGTTGTAATATGTCATGTAGAGGAACATACTTGCTCCTCGGCCGATGTTATCCTCTCGCCCAAGGGACTTTGGTGATCGATCGAACCACCTACATCCGACCGTTGCATGCGACCCCATTCCTAAATTGTCGATGACAAGTGGCGGTGCTCTGATCAGGTGCTTCCTTTGTTTTTCCACCCCTGGCAATGCGTATAATGGAACGTGCATTTGTGGGAAAAAGAAATCTCGAGGCTGTATGGTCCCCTCCCCCTCAGGGCGATAGGAGGTAAGGTACTTCCCTCAGATACAAGCGACAACGATCTCAAAGCGCCCTCTCTCGCGGATGCTGTCTTCTTGTGGTTTCGCTTACAACAGTCACTTGCATCAGTCAAGCATGACTGGATCAAACAACGGCTCGGAAAGCAGCGAACAAACCCTCCTCGGTGACCTCAATGATCACGAAAAGGGTTCTTTCCACTCGCAGCATTCTGCCCCACCTCAACGCAGTCCAGTCAGTATCCCAGACAAATCGCTTGTACAGTCCTCGCTTCGATCCGCCCCGTCACGATCCACGTCGCGAAAGAACAGCACTTTACACGCGTTAGCCCTTTCGCTTGTTGCGAGCGTCGACAGCGGTCTAGTTTCCCGGAAAGACCCGTCGGCGTCTTGGGGTACCAAAACTTCCCAAAACGGGCGAAGGGACAAGATATCCAGCCAATCGCCCTCGACATCCTTGCAAAAGGTATCTCAACAGACATCTTATCAACAGGTCCCACCTGGTATGAAAAGGCAAAGCAGACATCAACATGACCCGCGATGCCTCAAACAAAGCTCCTCTAGGACTCTCCTGGGCGCTTTGACTCTTCTCACCGGGAAAGAAAAGCCGAAGCTTCCGCCTGCCAAACTTGGACAGGACAAAACTGGAAAGGGTAGCAGTACACGACAAGGACATAGGCAGAAATGCCAAAAACGACGCGAAGTTGAACCAGAACCCCACATTGAAGGCTCCATCCACTCGGATTTCCAGGCCGATAGAACAACTGAGGTATTCGCCTCGATCGTCGACATCCCTGTCGAAGAACACCCTGCCGAAGATTTTTTGGGAAGCACCAACCCTAACTTTTCAGGGGATACCGCTCTCGCAATGCATGCGGCGAATCCTGCAGTCACGCAGATCGCGGAGCACGACGACAGCAAGGTGGATAACAGAGGCGATTCCCAGCTTGTTGTGGATGACACTTCGTCGAGATTTAGTTTTGGAAGCAAGATGCCAAGCGTCATTCGCCCCAGGAGGAGGCATTCGGCATACGGATCGTTACCCCCTCGAGTGGATCCGTCCACCGGACCGATTCCTGGAAGTCGCCGTGACTCCTGGAATGGTTCTGGTATCGCCAAGCATTCTGACGCCCATCATTCTCAACAGCGCTCTGCTATGTCGCTTTTCTCTGCTTATCGGCATCAAGCAGGCCCGATTTACGCATCGTCAACCACTGCCGTCTTCGCAGGAGTCAAGGCTGGCGAAACTTCCCCGCCCCCTTCCATTGTGTCCAGCCATATTCTTGTCGAGCGTGAAGTCAACCACGACGTTTCAACACCAGCTCTTGTAGAAAACAAGGATCGAGTATCAGACTATGCTGAAGACATTAGCCTAAACCAACAGGAAACGGACGCTGGAAAGCTTGAAAAGATGGCGAAAGTGCCAGAGGAAGAATCCTGCATTTTAGAACACGGGCGAGCCGACAAAGTACGTAGGAAAGACACGAAGGTCGGCGGAAAGGAGCCGAATACCAAATGCAAGGAAAAGCAACAAGGCAACCGATGGGTGAGAAGAAGGCGAAAGAGCAATCAGGTAGACGCGCAGGTAGCGAGTGAGAAACCTCAAAATCATAAACACTCACCAGGAAAGTCTGGCCGAAGGGCGCGAGCGCCTATCGACGGTCACGGTAATACCAGTGTGAATCAATCTTCCCATAAAATGCTTATCACAAACAGAGGGGTGAAATAGCTCCTGTTCATATCATCAAAGGTCCATTGTTATAGCTTGTTTTCTGCGTCACACTTATATAATAGTTCACTTCCCTCGTACATGGCTCCATTGTCCTTTTCCTACTCTTTGTCACTTTTTTCCGATATCATCAATTGAGCGGGCTACCTACTAACAAAGCATATGAAGCGTCCAGCGCAGCCGCCATCTGCATCCCGCCAACCGAACTAGCGACCTGCTCGGACCCAAGCAGCGTCTGCGAGATACTGGTAAACTTGCAACCAGATGGATTGATCGTACCGTCAAACCTGCCCTTCAGCCAATCAATCACTTTGGGGAAATGCAAAAGCTCCATGGTAAAATGTTGAGTTGAGGGAATGACGTCGGAGACAAACTCGATAGTGGCGCCGTTGGAGCAGTAAGAGTTTGCCATGACGGATGCCGGCGGGTATGGGACAATATCATCGTTGACGGCGTGGTATACATATAGTGGGACGCGAGGGGTGTCTGCGACTTGCGCACCGAGAACTAGGTCTGATAATGTTCTCTGATCGAGCGCCCAGTGGAATTAGCATCATTGTGATGAAGAGTTATAGAAGGCGCAACGTACCTGAATAATAGGATCGGTCAAAGTTGTCGCACCAGAAGTAAAGTACTTGGTCGACAACACGTCTTGGTTCGAGTACGCCAAGATATTAGCCGGAGCACAACGTTGTCGTACTTTCGCGAGTTCGGAGAGGCCGGCCGGGGTAGCGAGCTCGTTTACACGGGATTTAAAGATGGGATAGGCGTCGGATACACCAGCGATACTTGCGAACACGACTAGGTACGAGGGGAAAAGCAATTGTCAGGACGTCGGCACATGCATGTGAAGGATAATGAAAGT